GGGGACCCTGAAGTGGGAAGACTTGTGTCAGCTCTTGTGAGCATCCACTCTGCAAGCGTAAGGGCATGAGGTGGGAACCAGGGGGCTTCCCAAGAGAGGTGCCCCCCTGGAGCTTTTGGCCTGGGAGGTACACAGGCCCCCCAGCCCAGACCTGCGAGAGACAGGAGGCGACACTGGAAGGGACCACTGCCTTTATTGCCTCTGTGCTGGGGTCCCAGCCTGGGCTTCAGAGGCCTCTGGGGGCAATAGGTGACCCTGGGCCCAAATTATTGCTACTTGGCCAGGTCACCTTGGGGCTTCCCATAGTGCCCTGAGAATGGGTGGGGTGAGGGCATGCAAATGATAAGAAAATGACATGCAAACCAACCCAGAGGCCTCTGGCACATCCATGGGTGCTGGAAGAGTCAGAGCCTAGTGGCCTGGGAGGGCAACAGGGGCACCCAGGTCCAGCCCAGCCTCAGGGGCAAGGTTTGAGGGGTTGGGTCCCTGAGCATCAGCCCTGCTTCTGCTGCTAGCTGGGAAGGAGCAGAAGCCTGGCCCCAAGACAGCGGGAAGAAAGCAGGACCCTTGCTAGGCAGCCAGATGGCCCAAGGCCCACCCACACGGGGACAGAACCTGCCCTGGGTCGCTCAGCCAGGAGGGACCAGAATCCAGGTCTCCTGAGCCAGGCAGAAGCCAAAGCAGCTTGGAGGCTGAAGTGACAAACAATAAAATACATGGATAAATAAATCAATAATAAATAGAAAGCAAGCAGCCCAGTCCCTGATCCCTGGGCTGAGAGCCCTTCCACCAGGCCCAGGTCCAGGAGGAGGCAGGCCCTGGTCTTTGCGCTGGGTGGGCTGGCCAGGGCAGAAGGCTCCAGAGGGAGGGAGGCAGGGTCCCGGGGTCCTCGGCGTGTGAAGGTCTGGCTCAGTTGTTATTCATTATCCACCAGGAGGCTGGGGGTCAGAGGTCGGGGGGTCAGGAGCCCTCAGGAGCCCACTGCCCCTCCCAGGCGACAGTGAGTGGGGGTCTGCCACACACCTGGGAAGAACACAGTGGTGAGGGTGTCCGGAGCCCGCAGGTGGTCGATGAGGACGCGCTGGAAGGCCTTGCTGCAGGGCGACTGCTGGTGCCTGCGGAGACACGCAGGCTGCCATGACCTCGGTCTCCCTACTCCTGCCCCACCCTGCTGCCAGGATCAGACCCCGGCCCTTCTCACGCTGCCTCTGAAGCCTCAGTCCTCTCCCCTTTGACACGAGGACGCTGTGCAGGTAGAACGAAGGGCACCGCACACAGTGCTCGGCATAGGCATTGTCACATGCATGGTGACAAGTGTGTGTTCACTAAGTGCCTCCTGTGTCCCTGTGCTGTATTCAGCTCTTCCCAGTCACCTCCTTTAGCCCACAGGAGTTGGAACTGTTATCACTTCCATTTTGGAAAGGACTCGGGGGTCGGGCAGGTGGGGTCACTCATCTGAGGTCACAGAGCCAGTGAGTGGGAGAGCAGGATTAGAACCCTGGCCTGACCCACTCCAGGGTCACAGTCCATGGTGTTAGCGGCCAGACTGGCACTCATACCTTCTCCAGGAGGCCTCATCCTGCCAGAACTCATACAGGGTGAAGGAGGCACCGTCCGGCATCTTCTGGGCAGACACACTGCGGGGCCAAAGAGATGGGCAGGCCAGGCCAGGGCTGCCACCACCTCTGCCTCCCTGGCCTGGGGTCTCATGGGAGCCCTGGCCCAGGACGTCCAGCCCCAGCACCCCTCTCTGCCCCAGCACCTCTCCCCCCCTCAGCCATCCCACCTGCCAGCTGGGGACTCACTGCAGACAATGGCTCTGGGCCCCTGTGAAGTCCACATAGCAGCGCAGGGCTCGGTGGAAGTCCTGCAGGCCTTCCTCTGCCACCTGCACCTGCCTCTGGGCCACGAGGATGTGCTGGTGGGAGAGGCAGTCGGTCAGCCGGTGTGGGGCTGGGCGCAGGGGAGGGACTGGCCGTGGCCTCTAGGAGGTTCCCAGCTGTTTTTTTGTTTGTTTGTTTTTAAGACAGGATCTTATTCTCACCCAGGCTGGAGTGCAGTGGTGTGTGGGATCATGGCTCACTGCAGCCTCTACCTGCCAGGCTCAAGTAATCCTCCCATCTTGGCCTCCCAAGGTGCTGGAATTACAGGCATGAGCCACCTACACCTGGCCCCCAGCCTTCTTGACTGATGCCAGATCCAACCTACCCTTTAGCTAGGTTCCTGCTGCCAACCTGCCCCCCAACCTCCCTGTCTCCATTGTCTCCCTGTCTCCAAGGGTGCTGCTTGATCCAGCCACTGTCCCTCCTGCAGTATGCCACCACTTCCTTCCTCCCTCCAGCGTCCGTCCACACTGCCCCAGACCTGGCTTTCAGAAATGCTGACGGGGAACCAAAGCCCAGAGAAGGGTGGCGGTTCCTGCAGGTTCTCAGAACCCGCCTGGTTCTCGGCACCTGCCTGCCAGGCCTGGGGGCAGGGCACATGCGCATTGCAGAGGGTGGGCGCAGCTGGCCCCATGAACCCCCAATTCATGAGCACCCCCAGACATGGCCATCCAGCCGCTTGCCCCTCTCCTGGGCTCACCGAATCAGGCCCCTTGGCCAGGTCCTCTTCATGCAGGGGTTCCAGCCGGGGGGCCTGTGAGGGCACAGAGTATGGGCCGCGCCTCCAGCATGGGCCTGGCTCGGGTGGATACCAGGAGGGTCCTCCCTCATGGGGCCCTGGCCCCATGGCCCTCACCTTGCACTCGAGCTGGTCGATGAGCTCCTGGAGGCGGTTCACCTGGAGCTGCCACTGCATCTCAGCCTCTGAGCTGTGCCCTGTGGGTGGGGCCCGTGCAGGGTCAGGCAGGGGCCTCTCAGGCCTGGCAGGTTCTCAGAATGAAGTAAGGGGCAGTGAAAGAGCGGGGCCTGGGGGAAGAAGGGATGCGGTGCCCGCCTTGGCCAGGCCTCCCACCCCGCCCCAGGCGCACCTGTGTCAGAAGAGCCGGGGGACCAGGTGGATGACCGGCTGACGCTCCTCAGGGCCCGGCGTCCTGTCCGCCGGCTGCCGCAGGGCCTACTCTGCGCCTCCACGCTCTCTGCATCTGACCTAGAGAAAGTGAGGCTCACAGGGCCGAGGACTGGGGCCCCAGGATGGGACAGGCCTGGGTGAGGAAGACAGGCCTCCTGGGACTCTGAGGCCTAGCCCCAAAGCCAGTCTCATCTCACCCCACCATGGCTTCCCTGCCCAAAAATACAGCCTCTAGGATGCTGAGACTGTGGGGATTTGGAATGGGGGTACAGTGGGCGCTTGTGCACTAGCCCTGCAGGTCGGCAGCACCCTTACATACCGCCAGCCACGGGCCTGGGCCTCCAGGGCATCTGACGCCCCCTCCAGCGAGCTCTGCAGGGCTTGCAGCTGGCTCACCGTCTCCCGCAGCAGGAAGCGCGTCACAAACTGGTCCACCTTGGAGGCTCTCTCGTACGCCTGCGGGCCAAGGGGGGACGGTCAGCATCTCCCAGCCTGGGCATTGATCTCTGAGTGGGTCCTCTGCCTCTTGCCCATCAGAGCAGCAGTGGCGGTGCCAAGAGCAGGGGCACGTAAACCCGGCACAGGCAGGAGGGTACTGAGACCCGATGGGCAGGGAGGGTCTGGATCCCTCCTTGTCCGGGCCTGGCCTCCCTCCCCGGAGGTGTGGAGCCAACTCACAGCAGGCATCTGCCTGCCGACGTGCCTGGCTTTTCTGGACTTCACGGCCCCTTCCCCGATGGGGCTACCACCTTCAGCATTGTCATAGCCAGTGAGTCCCAGGCACAGCTAGGCTGGGTGGGGCTGTCACAAGGTATCCAAGGGCCAATGTTGACACGAGGCAAAATGATGGCCTGGTGTGGCCCCAGACTCACAATCTACGTGTTCACTCCCTCATTCATTCACTCATGCACACAACACTGGATGCTTTTTACTAAGAGCTGCTAATAAAGACAATCAGGTCACCGTCCTCACTCACACAGACACACACACACACACCCGCTGGCAATGACCCCAACCGCCACTGCCAGCCTCCTCTCAGCCCCTCTCAGGGCGGCAGAGAGGCAGGGAGGCTGCCCACATGTTAGGCCCGACGTGGCCCAGCATGGGATTCTGAGGCTTCTCAACTACCTTCACTTCCTGGGGCTTCCGTTTCCTCATCTATCAAACAGGAAAGATGAAACTCAGCATATGGAGCTGGGAGAAGCTCCCAGGAGTTAATTCCTGCACAGGACTCAGCCCAGGGTCTGACACATAAGCTCTCAATGCTAGACCTGCCAGCCGTCTATCGTCAAGGGTAACACAATAAAGGGCCTGCCCACTTACACACCCAGGAGTCACAGACGTCCTGAGAATTGCCTAACCCCCACCACACACACACACACACGCAAACACACACGCGTGCGCACCAGAGTGGGAGTCCTGGGGAGCTGTGGTCCAGGTGCCTGCCCTCTTCGAGGGGACTCCAGAGGTCCCATCCATCAGAGATTTCATCTCCTGCCACAACCTGCCTCAGCTCAGCCATCAGATGGGACCTCCTGGGCCAGGCTTATGAGTTAGGAGACAAGGACAGAGAAGAAGGTGGGTCTTTTCATTCTCAGACAGGCCAGGGTTTCTATCTCCATGAAATCTTTCCAAAAAATTCCTTGTTGGGTATTTGAGATGATTAGTTTCTGTTGCTTGCAACCAGAGAACAGATAGAAGCACCCACTCAGAGCCAGGCACTGCTACAAGAAGAATTTCATTTAGTCTTTTGTTTTTCTGAGACAGAGTCTCACTCTATCACCCAAGCTGGAGTGACATGGCATGATCTTGGCTCACTGCAATCTCGGCCTCCCAGGTTCAAGCAATTCTCCTGCCTCAGCCTCTTAAGTAACTGGGATTACAGGCCCGTGCTGCCACACCTGGCTAATGTTTGTATTTTTAGTACAGACAGGGTTTCACTATGTTGTCCAGGCTGGACTCAAACTCCTGACCTCAGGTGATCCACCCACCTCCGCCTCCCAAAGTACTGAGACAACAGGCATTAGCCACCATGCTGGGCCTCATTTAACCTTTGTAACAATTTATAGGAACCATAATTGACCCCATTTTGCAGATGAGAAAACAGGCCCAGAGAGATTTATTACCTGGGCTAAGGTCACATAGTAAGTTAGTGGCAGGGCCAAAATTCATACCCAAACCACAGAAATCCCCCTCTAAGCACCTTACATGCATTGCCTCATTTATGATCATTAGCCCAGTTTTACAGCTGAGAAACCAAAAGTGACAAAGTGAGTGGAGCCCAGATTCACCTTTAGGCCCTGGGAGGCGGTGCTCAGAGCCTGCAATTGGTGAGGTCAGCCCGTGAGGTCACAATGTTGCCAGGGCCCAGGGGGCAGAGCAGACGGAGTGTGGGCCATGGTCCCCAGTGGTGACCAGCCCTGCCATGGGAAACAATAGTTCCCACAAAAGGACCAAAGCACCCAAGCAGGCCCACAAGGAGAGGCCAGCTGACATGGACAAGGCCTGGTGGAAACAGTTCCTCAGCCACCTCACTCGGAAGAAGCCGACTGTGAGTGTGGGGGATGGGGAACAGGGCTGGGGAGGCAGATGGGGGTCAGGGAAAGCTGGATACGTGAGTGGGAGTCTAGGCCTTGTGTGCAGAAGTCCTAGGGGGTGAGGGAGGAATTCGAAAATCTCTCCCAAGGATGAGGCTCCCAGGGGCCCATATGGGTGTGGATGGGGGTCTTTTCAAGGTGGCTGACGCCTGTAATCCCAACACTTTGGGAGGCCAAGGTGGGTGGATCACTTGAGCCCAGGAGTTCGAAATCATCCTGGGCAACATAGGGAGGTCCCATCTCTACAAAAATAAAAAATTAGGTGTTTGTGGTGGCAAATGCCCATAGTCCCAGCTACTCAGAAGACTGAGGTGGACTGCGTGAGCTCAGGTCAGGCATGCAGTGAGCCGTTGACAGCACCACTGCACTCCAACCTGTAGGACAAGACCCTATTTGACTCAGTCTTTAAAAAAAAAAAAAAAAGGCCAGAAGGGAGGGCAGAGATTCCAGAACCAGAAAGTGGATGAGACTCGAGAGCCCAGGGAGGTGAGCACGAGTGGGATTCTCTCCCAACCCTGGACAAACGGGTGGAGGTCCCAGCACCGAGAATCAGTCCTAGTTGGTACTACTGAAGCTAGGGGCAGGTGGGATTCCCCTGTGTCCTCTCCCCAGCTCCTAGGCTCAGAACTTCCCTGCCTCCCTCTCAAATGAGCAGAGGCCCTGGACCAGGCAGGGGTTGGGGGTGCTGAGAGCCCCCGACATCCCAGGGCCTGGAAGGGATCTCATAAACTTAGACGGAGCTGGTCTCAGGAAGTCAGCCTGGGATGGATAAGGGTTTCCAGAAGGGAGGCGGAGTCCAGGGCGCCACGCAGGGAAGGGAGAGCTTCCCCGAGGCCTGAATTGGACAGGGGTCCCCTCCAGCCCTGTGCATGGGAGGATGACAGGACCCGGTGGATGAGGGTCCCAGGAGGAGGGCGGGGCGGCCCCGGGTCGTGGGCTCGGCCCTGGCGCGCTCTCCCCTTCACGCCCCTGTTCCACCCCCAGACCAGGATCGTGCTGATCCTCCCCTTGGACAAGCGACAGCCACTGGCCAAGGCTGGGCGAACGATTGACTACTCGTCAGGCGCCGGGCTGGGCTCCCCGGCGGCACCCAGGTTGCGCGGAGCGGGAGAAAGCGGCGACCGCGAGCTGAAGATGCCGGTGCTGCTGCTGCTGCTGCTGCGGCAGGAGGCGCGGCAGCCGGAAGAGGGCGGGGCCAGGGCAGCGCGGAGCTGGCCGCGGCTGCGCTCGCGCCTGCGGTCCCCGGGAAAGGCTCCCAGCGAAGCCGGGCCTGCCAAGCAGCAGCCGCGCAAACGGTGCCGCTGCCCTCGCCCGCGACTCTAAGCGCTTGGCCCAGACCCCGCCCAATAAAGAGTGCGTGGCAACCCTGGAGCCTGCGAGCCCTGTCGGAGGCGTCTGGGAGGTGGAGTCGGGCTAGGCAAAGCTGAGCCTAGGAGCCGCACAGGGGTGAACGGGGCGTATTGAAGGCAGAGCCACCGCCACGTCTGTAGCCAGGGCTGTCTTTTACTTTCTCCTTACATGTGCCAAGGGTCAGAACAGAACCCCACACCTTCCTACAGTGGCGGGAGGCAGTTTCCCTCCCCGAACACTCCAAACCCAGGTCACATCCCGCTCAGTCTGCAGGCTCAAGGGAGGTGGGCTTGGGCAAACCCAGGCGTGGCCACGCTAGTGAGGGGGATCTGCTTCCGGCAAAGCCTGACATCCCCCCACAGTCCCAGGCCAACAGGCACCATCCTGGGTAAGAACAGCCAGGGCGGCAGTCAGCTGGGGCAAGGCCTGAAACGTGGATTCTGCCTGTGGACGCACCCAGGAGAAGCTGGAAGCCCTCTGGCACCTCACTCCTACACATTGTACTTGGTAACCCCAAAGCACTCAGGCCCTCCAGTCTTCCCCAAGGTACCTCTGTCTCCCAACCTACCCTGTATCTCCTTCCCCACAAGACAAAGACTTCTTTCAAACCACTCACCTGTCTAGAGCAGCTCACTCCCCTGCTCATAAGCTTTCAATAGGTCTCCATTACCAACAGGGAAAAAGCCCACAGCCTCAGTCTCACTCCCCAAATCACTTAGAAGCAGCCCTGCCACACTTTCTGTGTGGGATCCTGCTGCTGCTTCTCACTCTCCCAGGTCCCAAATCCAGCTCCACACCCAATGCCACTCCTGGCCTGCTGAACCTGCAGCCTACCTTCCTGTCACACCCTGGTGACCAACCTCAGGATGCCCTCTTTTGGGGGCAGATGCAGCAGGACTGAAGTCCCAGCTCACTAGAGCCACCAGCCCAGCTTCTGCTGAAGATATACTTTTGTCACCGTCACCATGATGAACATCTCCTCCACCTTGCCTGCACCAGGCTGGAGGCTGCATAACATCACTCCTGCTAATTGTGAGAACTGACTCTTCCCTACCATCCACGTGGTAACAATCAGGGTAACCACCTTCTTCCAGGGGGCCGCACCTCCTGCCCATACAGTGATTGGCCCAAGCTGGTCCTGTCAGCCCCTCCCCCTAGGACTGTAGTTCAGGAACTGTAGGAGACCATGCTCTCTACTTGAACATGCACAGGCTAAGTCAATCTTCAGAATAAAAACACAATGCAGGCCAGGCACAGTGGCTCACGCCTGTAAACCCAGCGCTTTGGGAGGCTGAGACGGGCGGATCACGAGGTCAGGAGATCAAGACCATCCTGGCTAACACGGTGAAATCCCTTCTCTACTAAAAATACAAAAAATTAGCTGGGCATGGTGGTGGGCGCCTATAATCCCAGCTACTCTGGAGACTGAGGCAGGAAAATCGCTTGAACCTGGAAGGCAGAGGTTGCAGTGAGCTGAGATCATGCCACTGCACTCCAACCTGGGTGACAGAGCGAGACTGTCTCAAAAAAAAAAAAAAAAAAAAAAGAACACCACCACCACCACAATGCAGTGCACATCCTGGGTTCCCTACAGCCCTGCAGTCAGATTCTGTTCCTGAAACCTGATTTCACCCTTGCTCTTAGTATCCATAACATGTAAGATCCTTGTAATAAAGTCCTTATTTTGGCTTACATTCACCCGAGTCTTCTACCTGCAACCAAATCGGTCCTGAAGAGGATGAGGCTTTGCCGAGACAAGAAGTGGCCTCTTTCCTGTGTGGTGGGATTATTACTACCTTTTGGAGAAAACCAAACCCAGAGAAAGATCAAGACTAGGTTAGGACTGCACAGTGAGTCAGCTTCAGAACTGAGTCTTGTTGGGTGCGGTGGCTCACATCTGTAATCCCAGCACTTTAGGAGTCCAAGGCAGGTGGATCACCTGAGGTCAGGAGTTCAAGACCAGCCTGGCCAATGTGGTGAAACGTGGTGAATTTTTGTATCTACTAAAAATACAAAAATTAGCCGGGTATGACGGTGCGCGCCTGTAGTCCCAGCTACTCAGGAGGCTGAAGCAGGAGAATAGCTTGAACTCGGAAGGCAGAGGCTGCACTGAGCTGAGATTGCAACACTGCACTCCCAGCCTGGGAGACGGAGACTCTGTCTCAAAAAAATAAAAACTGAGTCTCAAATTCAGGCCCACGTGAATCCATCCATGGAAGCCCCTAAAGGTAGGGCCAGAGCCTGTCGGGGCTCTTCAGGGAAGCTGTAGATCTGTGACTAAAAGCTTTTTCTTCAGCACTGGGAAGGTAAGGGCCACACATCTGGCCAGAGTACATCAGATAACTCTAAGTGGTTTGAGAAAGGAATCAGATTGATTGTGCTTGGCTGCTGAAGCCAGACCCCTGGATGCCAAAATCACTGCCCTTGGCTCTGTCCAGGAGAGAGGATGGGTCCAGGGAGTTGTCACAGGGTAGGGGGCTGTGGAAGGGCAGCTGCTGGGGAGTGAGGTCACAATGAGACCAATCCAAGTTCTTTTCTGCCTTCTGACCAGCTCCTCCTCCCTCCACAACCGGGAACTTCCGTCAAGCCCAGGTGAGAGGTGCCAGGAGGCTGCCTGGGTCCCCAAGGGGGATATATGTCCAAACAGCCTTACCACAAGGCCCCTTCGCCTTCAAAGTTCTGCTCCTCCTGGGGGCTTCTTAGGATCTAAAAGGATCAGTCCTAGCCATCTCATCAGCCATCTCAGCAAGCGCTGACGGGGAGGAACAGCAAAGGAGAGGCGAGTCCTGAGAGTGTGGGGGCCCGGTGCAAGGCGTGGAGCCTGGAGCCCGGCGCCGGAGGAAGACGAAGAGGGTGAGATGCGGCTGGAACCCAGCCAGAGCAGAGACTGAAGCCTGAACTACGGGCCGGGCCTCAGACCTAGGGACTAGGCACGAGCTGAAGAAGTGGCGGACGGCCCGGAACAAGAGGCGGGCCTTTCAGACCAGAGGGCGGAGCCAAGAGCTGAGAGGGGTGGTGATGTGATCCAGAAGAGGAGGAATTTAGGCCCCGGAGGCAGAGCCAAGGGCTCAAAGGGACCACTCCCTAGCACAGAGGCCGAGAGGTCTCGGGCCGACTAAGCCGAGTGGCACGAAGGAGCGGAGCCTTCAGCCCCGGGGCTGAACGGAGCCCGAAGGTGGCGTCGCTGTCGGGGAGCCGCCGTGTGCACCGACCGCCCTCCCTGGGCCGCATCGCGGTGGTGGTGGACCAGGGCTCGGGTTTCACCAAGGCGGGCTTCGCGGGCGAGAACCAGCCGCGAATAGTGCTGAAGAGCTCCAGCCTGGTGCCCAGCTGGGACCGGCCGGTGCTGCCCGGCGCGCTGGGCTGTGAGCTGGCAGGCGGCGTGGCGCGGGCGCACCCCATCAAGCACGGCGTGGTGGCGGACTGGGAGGCGCTGGAAGGGCTCTGGGAGCGCCTGCTGGTGGGCGGCCTGCGGGTGTGCCCAGAGCAGTGGCCTGTGCTCGTGAGCGACTCCCCGTCGGCGCCACCCGCAGGCCGCGAGAGGGTGGCGGAGCTGCTGTTCGAGACCCTGGCAGTGCCCGCGTGCCACATGGCTAGCACCGCGTTGTTGGCGCTCTGCTCCACTGGCGCGTTCAGCGGGCTGGCCGTAGAGGCGGGCGCGGGCGTGTGCCACGCCACGCCCATCTACGCGGGTCACTCGTGGCACCAGGCCACCTTCCGGCTGAACGTGGCAGGCAGCACCCTGTCGCGCTACCTGCGGGATCTGCTGGTGGCGGCGAACCCTGACCTCTTGCAGCACGCCCTGCCCCGCAAGGCCATCACACATCTCAAAAAGCGCAGCTGCTACGTGTCCCTGGACTTCGAGGGCGATCTCCGCGACCCCGCCCGCCACCATCCGGCCAGTTTCAGCATGGGTAACGGGAGCTGCGTCTGCCTTAGCAGCGAGCGATTCCGCTGCCCCGAACCCATCTTCCAGCCAGGCCTGCTGGGCCAGGCTGGGCCAGGGCTGCCCGCGCTGGCCTTCCGGGCGCTGCAGAAGATGCCCGAAACGCTGCGGACACGACTAGCAGACACCGTGGTGCTGGCCGGTGGCTCCACGCTGTTTCCTGGCTTCGCCGAGCGCCTGGACAAGGAGCTGGAGGCGCAGTGCCGGCGGCACGGCTACGCGGCTCTGCGGCCCCACCTGGTGGCCAAGCATGGGCGTGGCATGGCTGTGTGGACCGGCGGCTCCATGGTGGCCTCCCTTCACTCCTTCCAGCGCCGCTGGATAACCCGGGCCATGTACCAGGAGTGTGGCTCCAGGCTGCTGTACGATGTGTTCAACTGAGTCAGGCTGGACTGGGGGGTGGCAATGCGGTGGGGGACAGCTCTCTATCTAAAGAGTCAGGTGTTTGGAGCTGGCAGGATCCTCCTGGAGGTTGGAGCTGACTGGATGGGTTACCCCCAAACCCTTTCTGGGCCAGGTGGTATTTGGGACCCATGGGACCCTCATTTTCAACTGTAATTTGAATCTCCCCAACCTCTGCCAGTTCAGAGAATGCCAGTCCAGCTGCCTACCCCCAGGGCCCTACTTTATGGCAATAAAGGTGATGCCCCCACTTGTGTCCATGCCACAGATATGGGAGTTCCTCCAACCCCTCGTCATGCCAGGCCCCAAGGGGCAATCCTTTGGAAAGCTACTAAATCTCATGTGAAAGTCACCAGCAGGAGGAGCCCTGTGCCTAGCCGTGTGCTCAGGTCAGCTGACGATGACTGCCTGCTTCCCCTTCTGTAAAAAGTGGGGTCAGACACACTCCCGGGCCTGCTCACTCCCCCTTACAAGAGCCATGGAGCAAAGGGAGGTGGTGATATTTCTTGAACACACAAAGGGATGGGCGGCTTATTTTTTGGAAGTCACCACTCAAGGGCCTCAAGCCCTATCAGCACTGTTTGTGCTTGTGCATAGACGTGTCCACATGTGCACACAAACGCATGGGCGCTCACGTACCTGCCTACTCACGTATGTCCTCGGGCCAGGCCC